GAACACCAGAACACCAGATATACGTGGTTCGGTCAATTGACTTTGACCTACATCCACGGAAGAAAGAGGAGCAAATTACTATTATAAAAGAAAGACACTTACAAATGCCTTAGGAAGATGTTCCTAGGCCATAAAACACCTTTAGCTTCCTAAACAAGAAGACTTCAAACCATAAGCAGGTTTTCTTATGATGCCTGCTGTACTTCTTGTGGTGTCTGTGGTACTTCTCGTGGTGTGTCTAACATCAAAGCTCAGGCCCTTATTTATAGTTCCAAGACGAGACAACAAGTCTGATTTTCCCGATGTGGGACTATGGGACTTGCCAAACTAACACGTGTGAGCACCAGCACCATTCCAATCTCCCTGGCAGTCAGTCACAACAAAGAATTGGTTTCAGATACCATTTCAGGGGATTGCTGATGGGAAAAAAAAAAAGAGAATGCAAACCTGACCTGGATTGGCTTCGGATCGAAAGAAAGAACTACACCTGCAATTTCGGTGATCCTGTGGATGAAAGAACATCGCAAGTAATCATGAGCTTGGAAGTGTTCTGTTCTCAGAATGATCGAAACACACGATGTTAACTGTCAAGTTTGCAGTGATTACCTCAAGAATGTAACGAGCAACCCACAGTTCATCACCAGCAGAGATACCAACAGCAGGGGCCAAGTTGGAACTCCCACTGCATGCCGAAGATACGTAGCAACTGCTTAGAAACGTCATCGAGACAGACAAAGATGGCAGCTTTCACTGCAGAGCGAGACATGAGGATTACCTGACTTCCCCAATAATGCGACCGATGTTGATACCAGCAAAAAGACGAGCCTTGTAATGAGCATCAACTATGTCTCGGCCAAAAGCTTTTGTCTTCCCCGGCAGCACAGTAGTAGGGTCCCTGACATGAAATGAACATTACTGTTTGTCGAGGAACAGGACTGACTGATACCTCAAAAGAATATAACGAAAATTCTTTTCCTAAATAAATCAACTAAATTTACATTTGATCAGAGAAACAAAAGCATGAGAGATGCATCCTCTGCTAAGCCTATCAAGAACTTAAAAAGACCCCAAAGAGTTAAGCAAGAAAGAGGACTTCTCATGCCTGAAGATAATTAAACTACCTGAGGACCAGGAAATCCACCGACCGGCCAACCAAGAGGCCATTTCACATCCTTTTGCAGGAGGGTGTACTCCCCTGTTCAATTCCATACCTATTGTTCGTTTAGAATGTGAAGCAAGGTCAGATTTTATTTAGAGAGAGAGAGAGAGAGAGAGAGAGTTAACATATCTAGGTATATTGATATAATAATCGCTTTGACTTGCATCGAAGTTAATATAGTATTATTGTATTTATTAAACTTATTATATTATTTTAAAATTTATGATCATATATAAAATACTTTTTAAAACTTTTAAAATCTAATTAGATAAAATTATTTTAAAATAAATTTTATTTTAATTTTATTTTTTTATATCTAATCAAGGCCAAATGAGAGAATTTTTAGATTATATGATCTTATTTAATTAGATAAAATATATTATATATCTGATTAGATTTTAATTATAATTATCACTTAATAGAAAAAAAATGATAAGATTCTTATAAGATGATTATGATAAGAGGAACTCTCCTACTTTTATCCTCGACCTTATGTGTTGCTTGTGACCTTGTGATGCACGATCATTCTTATGTGGTCAATCGGTGATATGTCGTCGCCACTTGTGGTGCTTTCATTGTGTGCAGCCATCCACTGTTTGCACATCACCAACCCTCCATGGTCGATCACGACCCATCAACAGTGGCCACGACCAGCAACGCAACCACAGCCTTTGTGAACTGTGGTGTGCCTGTTGTGTATGGCTTGCGTGAAGCATATAGCCACCATGATGCATGACCTTCTTATTACAAACTTAGTTGGTTTTATCTAAGTTGTATGATATTTTTATATGTTTGTTTGCAAATGTCAACATTCCTAAAGCCTCCTATGGTTCCTTAGAACGTGCAAAAGAGAATATGTATTTTACTCGGAATCCATAAGTAATCATTTCAATGAATAATTTATAGCTAATGTAAATTACAAATATATATTTCACAAGCTCTGAATGATCGTATAACAAAGGGTCCAAGATGATTCACTACAAATCAAAATCCCTACAAGTGCCTAGATGACACAATCTTCATTTACAAACCTAAAATGGTCATCATAGACAACCAAAATGGGACTATAAAGCCCACGACCAATCATTTACATATTGTGCAAAGTATGAATAAACCGAAGAAATACGAATATACATGAGCATTACATCAAATACCCCCGTTTTCAACTTTGTGCATACTCATTCTCACGGAGTTGACCGACAACTTGACATTACATCACCCATAAGCAAACAAGGAGCATGGAGGAATAGATTCAAAGATCAAACATAATATATCACAAATTAATTTAAAAATAATATTAATCTAAGATTGAAATAATGATTCAAAAGATGAACACATCTAATCATAAATAGATCTATTTCTTAATAATATAAGTTATTTTGATTTTAAAACATAGCTCTAACAATAATCGTAAGTATAAAAACTTTAAAAATGTTTCTATTATATCAAAAATTTAATATTAGAATCTAAATCAAATAACAAATTGTATACCTTTTGATGCCATTTGGAATATTTATTTGTTATGTAAACTTATCGTCATCGAATTCGATCGAATTCGAAAGTTATAAGAATACTGATTTGTAAGGAGAACCAGACTCATCTTCTTCTATATTTTTATCTTTCATATGACTAGTAAAATGATGAAATAGAGACTAAGAAAAATTGAAAACATATCGTTTTATAGAATATATATGAGGTCCTATCTATTTATAGATGAGAATAGAAAGTCTAGGATAAAAAAATAGGAGAGTCCCTCTTATCAAAATCATCTTTTTAAGAAATTTTATCATAAGTGATTTTTTTATTAATTGATAACTATAATTAAAATTTAATGAAATGTATAATATATCTTAATTAAATAAAATCATATAATAGACCATGATGAGGTTATTGTAACTACCCACCAATTCCCTAAAAATGAATTGTAGCTACTGAGTGAGCTTAAAGACACACAAGTGGGACACAGTGGCATATTCTCATGAAGCACTTTTAATCTCATAAAGATGACTTGAAATGGTTCAGTTCCAGCAACAAGGAGATTGACTGACTTAAGCTGCATGTCTGTTCCTTCACATCAGTTCCTGGATCAACTTGTCATCAATCAAAATCATCCGTCACCAAATGGTTTCCATGTGAGTTGGCAAGACGGCCAGTGCTACAATGAGAAGAAGATTCTTCTACAAGACTGATGATTAGGGTCATCAAATGAAGACCACTAGTGCACATTGGCGACTTCCCGGAGAGCATCTGCTTATATGTCAGAATCTTACCTGCCAAGGCAAATGAAGCTGAGGGCTGCAATTTTGCTGCAAACTACTGCAAAAGTAGTTTGAAGGCAAAAGGATGATAAATGTGCTTACTGAATGAAAATATTTTCTCCTGGCTTTGATATACTCATCTGACAGGGCTCTCTCTTCTCACAGACCTTGTTCTTTACAAGTGTTTTCTGATGATAAGTAGCAGTTGCTTTGGCTGGCACATCACTTTGATTCATGAGATCCATGTAGTGAAATAATGCAGTCACATATTACAAAACATGTGATGTATCTGATTCTTGATTGATGTGGATCTTTTGTAGTATCATGATTCTGTGTTTGAAGCTCAACCAGTGGTTGCTCCTACTAATTCAAATATCATGAGGGCTAGCCAGAAAAGGTTCAAATTGAAGACAGAAACGTTGCACCACACTTTGCATGGCTTCTTGTTGGCATCAGACCTGTTCTTGGCCACCAAGCCTGCCTCCCAGATGTCTCATCTGTGGATATGTACTTTGTTTTCTTCATAAGACCTCTATATCGAAGCAGTTCATAAGATTACTCACATTTACGAATCCTACTACCTAAAAATTACATAAAGTATGCTTTACACAATCTAGAGATGATTGAAAACCAAATGAAAGTACAAATTTCTAGCAGAGTCTAAAAAAAATGAAGCAATCAAACCACTTACAAACTGCCCATAAGCACAATGCAGCTTCAAACCATCCTACATCTTATAAACCTTCAGATACCTTAGTGTTGTTAGAATGGTTCGAGTAGGACTCAGAAGTTTCTCTTCAAGTTACAAAGCTTCAGTCAAACTCTGGAAGGGCCAACCTACTCACCTCACTCATATACCTGTGGTCATAATTTGTCAGAAAAGGATGCCCAGAAACAAAGCCAATAATTTGATAATGCAATGACAAATCCTATCACTCAGCCATCAGCAATACTCAATTCTATTTTAGACACTCAAAAGCAGATACAATTGGCTCATGCTTTGAAGTCTCAGTTTCAATCATCTGCTTACTGAATAATAGACATGTATCTACAGTGGAGAACACACTAAAGGCCGGAATTCCAGAATTCTGAGTTGTCTATTATTAATGAAATCATGCTGTTCAAATTCAACCAGTTGAGGGGATCACTTTTGCTAATCTTAATGCCCCATCTTCAAATGTATGATGCTAAAGTCTGAGACTAACAGTCATCATTATTTTGTAGGCTCCGAATAAACTGATGTCTGATTAATCAGTGAAGATTGAAGAGTTTTAGAGATCTAAATCTCCAAGTCATTATCAAGACTTGTATTACTACGTACTCAACCTTCAAGCCATTCCAATCTCATATGTGGGTGCTAAAAAACGTGAATTGTAGACAAAATAAGAGGGAGAGAGTCTTCCCCAAGCTGGTAATAAAGTCGGTTGCATGACTCATGGATTCTTAATCTTGAAACTTTCTTCTCAAATGATGGTTTCCAATCCCGTGATGGAAACCACTTGAGCACAAGTTCTAAGTAGTGGGTCCATCTCACCTGATGTGTCATGATAACCCCTATTTCTTTTGATGTGCAACTAATCAAAGTGTCAAAACAAACAGCTGATAGAGATTTGGAACCTTTATAACAAAGTCTTGGGATTGAATAAGGCAGATAACAAATATCTTTGTCTTTGTTTCGTGATTTTCGTACGATCGAATTCGATCTTCACCGTTTATCTTTCCTCAAATTTTGAATTGTGTGCTAAAAGAATAATGTTTAGCAAATCGACATGTAGTGATGATGTTTAGACGTTTTTGGGTACTATTTTTAATCATTTTTCTTCCATTTTGATTGATAACTTTAGGCCTTAAATATTGATGAAGCATCATCTCATTCAGCTAAATTACAGCTTAGATGGCAGTGGAAAACCATGTGTGGAAAAGAGAAATTCGACAATAAATTATGTCTCCATCTTCTTCATATTCATTAAGCCCAATTGACACTTTTCACCAAAGGTCAAAGTCCAATGCTGATTGGTCAAACCAGAACCACTTATACTAATTGACCAAGAAATCCAAAGTTCCCATTTCGACAAACTGAATTCAAATACTATTGGCTGCATCTGAACCTATTATGTAGAATATAATTGATGCTACTACTTTCAACACTCTACTATGTATCCTTTTATCCACACAATCCAAGTAGAAGTGGTCTCTGTAGCGTCTCTTTCGTTACCCACACACACACACAAGTGGAGGATAAGAATACTACATATCGAGCTGTCTTGGCTGCTGCAAGTCTTTGTGTGGAATACTAAATGTTCATTTCCTCGTTTATAGTTGCTAGTAGTAATTATATAAGTTCGACCACAGAGCAATCGATCGTCATGATAACACAGGCTTTCTGAAAGCAAGAGATCAGAATTCATGAACACCATACGATCAATCTCCACCAACCATTTTGGTGCAAGCACGCATCATAATCTCTTTATATTTCCAAAGAAATATGGGTCCATTAGTTTCACTTGACACGTAGATGAGACAGGCATAAGGTTCGAGATTGGTTGAGCTATAAAGGAAAGAGAGGAGTTGATAGGCACTCTCTGTGTGCCCTCTTCTAATTCAAGTGGTTTTGCTGTGAGAGAATGGGGAGGAAGCCATGCTGTGAGAAGGTGGGGTTGAAGAAGGGGCCTTGGACAGCTGAGGAGGATAGGAAGCTCGTCAACTTCATGCTCAACCATGGGAAATGCTGCTGGAGAGCTGTGCCCGAGCTTGCAGGTTTGCTTCTCTTGTGATCAGGAGAGTATGATTTCTGGGAGGGAGTTCTGAGGGGAACAGGAGTGCTTGGGCTGAGCAAATGATCTGGTGTTGTTGATACAGGACTGCTGAGGTGTGGAAAGAGTTGCAGGCTAAGGTGGACAAACTATCTCAGGCCTGACCTGAGGAGGGGATTGCTATCGGACGCCGAGGAGAAGCTAGTCATCGACCTCCACTCTCAGCTCGGCAACAGGTTCTTTGCCCTCTCTCTCTCTCTCTCTCTCTCTCTCTCGCTCTCGCTCTCTCTCTCTCTCTCTCTCATGTGCAATGATATGTTATTATGTTTGTGTTGTTGGGCTCCACTTTAGCTGAAGCAAAAAGCCTTTCTATTTCCCTTTACTTCTTCTGGTAGATGGTCGAAGATTGCATCTCATCTCCCCGGTAGAACAGATAATGAAATAAAGAACCTGTGGAACACCCACATAAAGAAAAAGTTGCGGAAGATAGGCATCGATCCCCTGCCTCACATGCCCATCATCCCTTCAGCCAACGAGCAGACCCACCAGCAGCCGAAGCAGCAACGGCGACACGTGGATGCTTGGTCTAATGGAGATCAGAAAGCCGAGGAGGCCACCTCAAAGTATTGTTGTGAGGTAGATGAAGTACCGGAAGCAGAAGAGAAGAGCGCAGTGAGCACGTCCGATCGTGCACCTGACATTGCTGATGCATCCCTTAGCAGCTGCCCCGAATTCTGCACTGATGAGGTGCCAATAATACAACCGCATGAGATACTGATCCCCTGTGGTTCTTCTTCTTCGTCTTCATCCTCATCATCATCATGCTCCTCCACCGGTTCATCAGCAAAAGCTGGGCCGATCGAACCTCCTTCATTCATGGAGTTGCCAGAATCCACGTATCTCTGGGGTGTGGATGACTTAACTGTATGGTCTTCCATTCATGGAGAGGAGCTATGGAAACATGACCTCTTCTGACTCTCTTTTCTGATGGTTTTGTGATTTGGCGAACAATGAAAATCCATTTTGCTGAAAAAATGATTGCAAAAAGATTCCAATGTTTTAGTCTTCTTAAGTTAAATGTGCAGAAAACACATTCAACTATTTGATTCGATGTAGTTTCTCCATCATGAACTTAAATACAACCACAAAATGAAATAAATAGCTAGACACCAATATCCCTCAAAATGACAAGTTAATAGGTGAGTGAGTAACAATAAGGCTGCGGTCAATCAACCTACATGTACGTCATTTGGTCATGCTGAGAGAAAATGATGTGTGTGTGTGTGTGTATATATATATATAT